CAACATGGCAGGCCACTGGTTCAAGTGCAGGAACTGGAGATGAAGAGTTGGCCAAATGCAGAATCCAAAATGTGCCAAAAGCTAGAACCTTTCCCAAAGTTTCTCCATATATATTGGAAGCAGGCCACACCCCAAAAGCAACTACTTAACTGCTCACAGCAGGTTCTACCATGGAGATAATTATAATCTCCTCATGGGGAATAACCACATCCAAATGCCAAGCCACTCAAAACCACAGTTCAACCAAGATGACACACAACCTTAACTACCACAGACATACTTACACAGACACATGTACAATGCTAACAAAGATATTCATTGCAGTAGCTTGAGTGACATAGGAAAGACTAGGGAGAAACTAAATACCTACCGATAGAAGACTGGTTAGATGAATTGCAGTACATCCATATAGTGACCATCTTGCAGCCATTACAAATAACAAGTCGACTTATATATACTACATAAAAATGGTACCTAAGATATTAGTGTACATGCATTCTCCTTTTTTCATGTACAAATTTTAAAGGTAATGTGCTCAGTATCCTGTTCTGTACATAGTCTTTTTTGTTTTGTTTTATTTTGTTTACCACTTAAACTAATATCTTAGTTTAAGTGGTAAAAAACAAAGACTATGTACAGAACAGGATACCCAGCTCATTACTTTTTAAATTTATTTTAAAAATGGAATGTACAGACACATCATATTTCCAGCAAAAATGAATCTCAAGCCATAAACTCAGATGTGGAAAATATATAACTTTATTTTCTCATAATTGAACTAAATTCTAATTTTAGCCTCAATAAACTATTACAGCAAGCAACTGAACCTTAATCTCAGTCACCTTGAGGGCCCTCTTTCTAAGGGGTTTCCCCCAAGTTTCAGAGACCTTTTTGCCATGGTGTAAGGGGAAAAGTAAGGGAGGGATCCGTCCTTGGTGTTGTCATCTAGCCATACTGCAGCCAATGAGACCTACAGGGACCCCTGCCTAGTTCTCCATGGTCAGGATGCCCAGGTGCCACCAGTTCATCCTCATTCTCACCATGGGCTCCATTGCTCTCAGGAATCCTCTGCTACATCTGTGCTACTCTGATGCACAAAGGTATTTTTCAGCTTCTGCACTACCTTGGGCCCCAGGGTTCTCTCTGAAGGAATCTCAGGCTCTTCTATCCAGACACCTGTTAGATAAATGAGCCAAAGATGGCGTCTGTGTATTAGCCTCAAGTTATTTACTTCTTTGTAGCAAGCTGAGGCCCATTAGCCCAAAACAACTGCAAGCACAAAACTCATATTTATATATATCCAATTGTTTTGAAAAATAGCCCAAATAAACTGCTTTTTAGCTACTTAGAGACTTCCTGCCTTATATACCTCACAAAACTGTACTCAACATCTGCTGGCCCCACATAAGATAAGATCTATAGTTTAAAAAGGACCCTAAGGTGCTACTAAGAGCCCTGATGGCTCAGTGGTTAAGTACTCGGAAGCATACTGAAGGATCAGCAGTTCGAACCCACCAGCCATTCCACGGGAGAAAGATGTGGCAGCCTCCTTCCATAAAGATTTACAACCTTGAAAACTCTGTAGGGTAGTTGCACTCTGTACTATAGGGTCACTCTGAGTTGGAATTGACTTGATAGCAGTGGGCTTGGTTCGGTTTTGTAAGGTGCTACTATCTTCAGAGATTCTCCACCTTGCTGCAGGAAGATATACGCACATAAGCCTTCCTCTCCTCCCTTATTCTCTTCCCCAGGGTTTTCGGGTCCTCTTCCCCTTCCCCTTGCACTGCCTTTGCCTCTGGAAGACCTCTTGTTATAGGGTCTATCGATGCATCCTTCTCAGTAAATAGCTTGTTGTACAATACTGCTATCTCCTGGTCATATCTTTTTCCTTGATCAGCCCAAACCTCCTCAAACCCACTGCAACACCCTTGGTTGTTTCTCCTCTGGGATCTTGGTGCCTCTTCTTGGAGTCTGGAAATGGTACTGCTCTACTAACGGCATATGCTCCCCTCAAGAGTCATCTTTACTCCTTCTCACATACTGCTATTGAGACATGAATTGTTCAACAGACAAGGCATTTAGCAAGAGTTAAACAGTGATGAGCTGTGGGCAGAGTAGCTGGTTCCAGGAACTAACCAATATGCTGTCCTCTATGACATCTGTGCTAAAGAAATCAAGGTCTAGCTCATTTCCAAAGTTCCATTGTATCAGTGGCCCTGAGTGTGAGAAACCGGGACACTCAGGGACCACTTTGCCGAATAACTCTAAAAGGTAGCTAAGAGCCACTCAGAGGAACAGGAAATATCCAGATGCTGTGATACAGTGGGGGTTGCTTGAAGCCAAAGCAATCTAGGTCCAAATCCTGGCTCAGCCATGGTCAAGTTATTTAACCTCTGTGAGATTCAACTGCCTCATCTTTTAAAAAGAGTTATAACATCTGCCCTACAAGAATGCCAGTTCTTGGAGGCAAGAGCTAACATTTAACACCAAGTGGGAGGAAGCCACTGCTATATAAAACTTCATTTTAAAGCTGTGAATTACATTCAGACATTTATTTTAAAGATCAAAGCAGGAGAGAGAAAAAGCAGGCTCAATATGGTGTAGAGGTTGCTGTTCCTATTAACGAAGGAAGGAAATTCACCAGAATCAAGAAACTGAAGTTAGACTGAGAAGAGAGCTGTAGCTTTCCTGAAAGGCATTGCCCCCAAAGTGGACACTAATATAGCAGGCCCCATGTTTTCTTCTCAGGGATTTCTCAATATTTTCTCCCTTGCTTCTCTTCTCAGAAAAAGTCATCCCTGCAAAGGGAACTTTCCAGCTGAGTTCATGGGGAAAAAAACAAGCTAGTTTCATGGAACCTGCTAAGTCCAGTCAATTAACTTCAGACAAAATGATGACGTGATACCATGAATGGTTCTTCCAGCAGGCACTTCTTACCACCAGGCCCAGTTTTAGTACTGGAAGCTAAAGCCCCCAAATGTGGCCAGCCAGCCCCTTCCCTATAAAGACAAGGTTGACTTGGACTATGCCAGCCTTTACTCAGGCATTGGCAGTCAATCTCACTTCTCCATTTCTCCATGTTGTATTTTTCTCTTATGGATCTCAAGATGTGATGAGCAGTGAGGCTAATAACTATTTTTCCAGTTACTGGTAACCACATTCAGAAATCAGGATCACCACTGGGCATAAGCTGCATTACTCTTGAGTCTCCAAATTGAAGTTCTACAGGAATCATAGTGGCCCTTAGAATTACAGAATGCCTCTCAGGACTTAGATGTATTATCTTATGACTTTCACTCTGATGGTCCCAAAAAGGAAATAAGACCCATGGCATTGGGTTTCCATGCCCTGGATGGACTCAATATAGAAGAGTTGCTGAGAAGGCTCTGTCCCCCAAAGCAAAATTTTCTCATTCTTTGAACTAATGCAAACACTCAAACACAATTTGCTCTTTAACGCAAATTATTAAATGCACCATTTTTTTCTGAATGCATTTAGCTGTTAGAGTAAAAAGCCTGTGGCCATAGGTGAGCTTTGAAATTGGCCAATCAGTTTAGGATTTGCACCTAACCACTATACAATACAGGCTCTGGATGACGTTATATGGTTCTTTCTCCTTTTCAGAATATTTTCGTTTCTGTTATTGATAAGCCATGACAGATTTGGGGCATAAGTAGGAAAGATAACATTACCCATATTTTACAGCAGGAAAAAAAAAAAAATGCTGAGACTTCAGACACATTAAGTGATGATTCTAAAGCCCCACAGCAAATCGGAGATAAAATCAAGACTAGGAGTATTCATTCTTTCAACAAGTATTTATTAATTGTTGACTCTGTACCAAGCAGTGGGCTAGGCCCTGAGAAAGCAACAGTGAACAAAACAGACTATGTTTCTTATATCAACTAATTGTTTCAATTGGGAAAGTAAATGGATGAATAAACAATTTCGGCCATTGAGAGATGCTGTGACAAGAATTATCAGGACAGAGTGATGGGTTGTGAGTACTTCAGTTTGATGGACAGGGAGGGGCCCTCAGAGGAGATGGCATTTCAGCTGAGATCTGAATTACAAGAAGGCAGGAGTCGGGGGGACCATTCCAGGGAGGAGGAAGATCAGGGATAGGTGTCTTGGTATGTCCAAGAGACAGTCCAATGTGACTGGGTTGTGGTAAAGAAGAAGAGAATGAGGAGACAGAAATGGAAGGATAGCCTTGTAGGCCAGGTAAGCAAGCATAAAAATTTTGAAAATATTGTATTAATACAGTTCTAGTTACCCTTAAATCATCATGTCGAGTCACTGTCTACTCATTGAATCAATAGGTTCCCGTCTACTAGAAAAAATGAAATTATTGTTCAAATTTTACTATAAAATTAGATGGAGAGAAGGATTGTAGCCAGACAGTAGTCTTGAGAGTCAGGATTTCCTGATCACAGACCAGAAAAACTCCAAGTTAAAATTAGTGTCCTTAGAATACAAAAGCAACTTCAAGTCAAGTTCCACCCCCATGCCAAGATACTTCTTCAAACTGATTCCCATCTCTAAGTCTCTCCAGTGTAGTATCTGAGTCACAACTGGTAGTTGGGATCCAGCCACTAAGACGTGATCTTATTTGGGGAAAACCAGGAGCTAGGAAGGAAGGATCCCAATTAAGATTTCACTTTTTCTGGTGTCTTATAGACTTTGGACAAAAAAATCTTACTGCCATTGAGTCAGATCTGACTCATAGCAACCCTTCCTTGGGTTTCCCAGGTGGTAATCACTACGGATAATATATTGCCCAATCTTTCTCCCAAGAAATGGCTGGTGGGTTTGAACCACTAGCCTTCTGATTAGCAGTCAGATGCCTTAGGCGCTACACCACCAAAGCTCCTATAGACTTTGGACAGGCCTATACATACAGAAAGTCAGAGTTAGAAGCCTGATTTGTCTGAAAGTGTAACAAGCATTTCTCTTTGGGTATTCCTTAGCCACATCCACCACTGCTGGTCCACAGGCATTCAGAATCGGCTCCCAGTACTGGCTCCACAGGCTGAACTAGGTCCACGAGAGGTGTGGGGGGCACAGCTTGGATGAGGAGCACAGGGAGGTGGCACACAGGAGGCAGGGGTGGCACATGGATTGCAAGGAAGTCTGCAGAGATACAGAAAAGATGAGCAAAGTTAAGGAAGGGAAATGAATGGGAGTCTCAGCAATGTGTATGGAGCATGAAACAGAAGTCTCTAATCCAGAAACAACGGGACATGGACCCAACTGAGTTCCTCAGCCATTAACCCTCTAATGTGCTCCCTTAGGGTTAGACTTTAAAAAAAAAAAAAAAAAAAAAAAAAACAGTTGCTGTGGGGTTGACTTGGACTCGTGGCAACACCATGAGTGTCAGAGTAGAACTGTGCTTGATAGAGTTTTTATTGGCTGATTTTTCGGAAGCAGATCACAAGGCTTTTCTTCTGGGGAGCCTCTGGGTGAACTTGAACTTTGAACTTTTGGTTAGCAGCCAAGTGTGATTTGCATCACCAAGGGTTAGACTAGGTGGTCTCTAAAATACCTTCTAGAGTTAAGGTTTTCTAGATTAGTCAGGTTCCATCCCAAAGGGCAGAAACTAATAAGAAGAATTTAAGAAATGAGAAGCAAGTCCAAAACCTGTTGGATCTAGAGTCAAATTTTGTATTTGAAGAACAGCCCCATTTCTACTCTCATCAGTCCCTGGCTACACCAGGAAGCCCCATTGGAGACCTGGCAAATGACAGCCACCTCTAAATAACTTTCATTCCCTTCACACTGTCAGTGACACAGAGGGCACAGTCGAGGTCTGAGCCATGAATCACAGAGCAGGAGTATTTTGGGAACCTTGTTCTTTATAGACAAGCGCTTTTGTTACCTTGAGGATCTCATAAGAATTGGGTAAATGATTTGGCCAGAAATTGCCTAGATCACACCTACTTGCAGTCCTCGCTCTCCAGAAGGTTCCGGTATGTGGCGATCTCACCCTCCAGCCGGGCCCTGACATCCAGCAGCACCTGGTACTCCTGGTTCTGCCGCTCCAGGTCAGCCCGGATCTCGGCCAGTTGCTCCTCCACACTGCTGATCAGGCTTTGCATCTGGGCCAGCTCAGTGCTGTAGCGGGCCTCGGATTCACACAAAGAGTTCTGCAGGCAGTCTTTCTACAATGGAAAGGAATGGGGTAAAAACCCAGGACCTCCAGGGAAACTTCCACTTGCCTCAAATCTTAGCAATGATAACTATGGCCAGAGCTGCCACAATATGGGAACTCACCAAAACCAAAAACCAAACCCACTGCCATCAAGTCAATTCTGACTCATAGTAACCCTATAGGACAGAGTAGGATTGCCCCATAGGGTCTCTAAGACAGTAAATCTTCACAGAAGCAAACTGCCTTGTCTTTGTCCCAGAGAGCAACTGGTGGGTCTGAACCACCAACCTTTCGGGTTAGCAACCAAATGCCTTAACCATCCTGCCACCAAAGTTCCTTAGAAACTCAACAGGCACAGGGCAAATTTTAGAAACTCATACCCCAGAGCTCTAGATATCTCGAATTGACTGTAAACAAAATAGCACTGCCTCCAAAGCTCAACTGGCTGTACCTTGTCCATCCCTATATCTGAGATATCTACAAAAAGAACTCAATAAATCTTTGTACAATGAATGCCTAAGCTTCAATATTAAAGAAGGAGAAGGTTTTTAATGCATGTTTTTCTGGATTTGACCTGCCCTTGACTGTAAATATAAAAATTAAATCACCGATCAATGGTTATGGAGGTGGAAGGACCTTGGTAGTGAGATTACAAAATAAAAGACTGCCAGGTGATGGTATGCAGCATTCTCATTGTGGGGAGAGTGAAGGAGGACACATACCAGAGTATGCTGGGCTTGGCGCTCAACCTCCAGAGTGTTCACCGTGCATCTCAGCTCCAGGATCTCTGACTGGCAGCACTGCAGCTCCTCGGAGCAGGACATGGCCTGCAGGCTGATGCCTTCAGACTAAAGCACAGGGGTCAAACAACAGTGACTTAGTCACTCACTGACCCAGAACAGAAACCAACCCCTTCCTGCTCTGCAGTACCATCCTCACCTGAGCTTGGAACCACTGCTCCACATCCTGGCGGTTGGTCTCCACCATGGCCTCGTACTGGCACCGCATCTCCCCCAGCACCCTGTTCAGGTCTGTGGTGGGCTCAGTGTCCAGCTCGATCCGGAGCTTGTCCCCTAGCTGACACTTAAGAGTATTCACTTCCTGAAGAGACAGAGGAACCAACACCCAAAATGAGAAATGAAACAGGCTGTTGCCAGAGAAGATAGCATCCAGACCTTTACCTGACAAATAGTATAAAACATGGAAGATCTTGCCCAGGGTCCTGATGAGAAGGGCCCATTAGGAGATTCTCCTAAATTCAGGGGGCAAATCTTTGGAGAAAAGCAGCTTCCACACTGCCACATTCCAGACTCAGTCCCAGATCAACAGTTTATCTTGATGCCACCTGAGCCTAGGTTCTAATCTAAGAGCCACAGGATGGGGCAAAGTGGAGAGCTTCCTTCTCTGCCCAATACCCTCACCCACGAGTCTCCAGCTCATAAGCCAGACCTGCTCATGGTTGCTCTTGAGGCAAAACAGCTCCTCCTTCAGGGACTCCTGCTGGGCTTCCAGGTCGGCCTTGGCCAGGCTCAGGTCATCCAGGAGCTTGTGCATCCCACACATGTCCGCCTCCACCAGCTTACGCAGGGAGAGCTCACTCTCATGCCTTCCATCACAAGAGATGCAGGGTCAACAAGGTTGCCATCAAAAGCACCCTCAGCTGTCCCCACCTTCCATCTCCTTCACCACCTTGGATCCTGATTGGTTCATTGTGCTCACTCCCCTCAGAGATGAATTAGACTCAGCCCTTCTTCTCAAAGAGCTCATGGTCTAGTGAAGCATTCAAAGATCATTTTATCATTGTACATTGGGGCAACTGAGGTTCTGCAAGATTAACTGACTTGCCTAAGAGTATGTATCTTAGGTACATAGTACAGAACTCATGCCATTGCATGGGCTACAGGTAACCAGGATAAGCAATAGCCAAGTGCATTATCATTGATTTGCTCCCTTATTCCTAGTTTGAGGCTGTTTGCCTATCTCCCACTTTTATTTAGTAGGACCGCCTGCTACATGAGGGACCCATAAATAGATCTGGACACTGATTGGTCTAAAAATGGCTCCCCTGACACATATATGAAATTCAATGGCTATCCTTGCTGAGTTCATGCTCTTTCTCTCTCTTTTTTCTTTTTTAAACTCCCTTTTTCCCCCACCCCAGCCCCGGTAACCACTCATGTACTTTTGTCTCTATATATTTGCCATTTGAGATATTTCATATGAGTGGGATCATACAATATCTGTCCTTTTGTATCAAACTTGTTCAGTTCATTCTTGAAATTACCTTATTTAGCTTTGGCTAATGAAGATGGGCCACCTCATCTTCCATTTTAGGGAAATAAATGAAAGAAAACTAAACGCACTAGGTTACACCATGCGTACCTGATTTAATGATGTTTTTCTCTTCCACCCCCTACAAGTTTTAGCTCTAGTAAAAAGTTTAATTGAGGGATTTAGGAAGGAGGAAAACAGACAGAAATTGACTCCTTTAACAAGTGTTTAGGCATTGGAGGAAGAAGTCATTCTGGGCCCTCTTTCAGCCTTACTTACTTGATTCTGAAGTCGTCGGCAGCCAGCTTTGCGTTGTCAACTTGTGTGATCAACCTGGCATTCTCAGCCTTGCTGCACAGGATCTGAGGAAACCCAAGAAGAGAGTTCTCATACCCACAAAGCATACCTATGACTCCACCTGCACATGTGCTATCCCCATTCACATCTCAAAAGAATCCAGAGCTCAAACTCTTTGAGCCCTAACTGCTGTTTTTGCCCTCCATGCCTTCTGCTCTCTTCAGACCCAGCATACTCCAGGTTACTGCAAACCTCACCTTCTGCTGGAGAGCCTCAATAGTCTGGAAGTAGGACTGGTAGTCTGGACACACGTTGGTCTCTGGGCATTTGCTAGACTCTCGGATCTTAGTCTCCAGCTCTGCATTCTCCTGCTCCAGCTGTTGTACCTTCTGTAGGTAGTTGGCCAGGCGGTCATTCAGAAACTGCATGGTCTCCTTCTCATGGCCATTCAGGGAACCTTCACTATAAGGCCCACAGCTTCCAATGTTGCCTGGAATGTGACAGGTCCCTGGCAAGGGGCAAGCAGTGTGGCAACTGGAGGGCAGACAGAGGCTGGGTCGGCCCAGAGGGGTGGACCCAACACGGACTCGGTTGGCATGAGCCAGGGTGGCCGAGAAGCACAGGGAGCCTGCCTTGACCCCTTTCCCAGGCCGGCCTCCAACATCAGTGGAGGAAATGGAGACATTGGTTGTTCCATGAGCCTTGATGGTGCCCAGAGGGTAGGAGGATCTGATGAAGGTGGAAGTCATGGTGTTGGGCTGAGGATACACAGAAGCTTCAGATCAGCTGGGAAGACAAAGCCACTGAATTTGGAAACCTCTTTCCATTCTAGCCCTTTTATACCCCATCCCAGGTGGGTGTTGGCTCAATGCTTTGACCTCTCGCCTTGATTATCTACCTATTGTTGTATATAATCCTGTTACTCAGTTGTTGAGTTTACCATTAAGAGTCCTCATCTCATTAAAGGAATTTTGATGAATCTGAGGTGCCTCTTCACTCTTTGATATCAGAGCTATTGTTAGAATGTCAGAAGTTTATATTGCTTTTCAAAGAACAAAAAGTTTTTTTCAGACATCAGATGTTTAGACTTTGACCAGATGGTCACCTCTTTGTTAATGTGCCCACAGTGAAGACATGAATATCCTGCTGGCCATTTGTGTAGTAAAAGGGACAAACCCTTAAAACTGTAGTGATGCTTACCAGGGTTAAAACTCAATCAGGCTTCCCTGTAAAGGGAAGAAACTGATTCTTGGTGTTGCTGGTTATGATGGTTGATTATCAAGAAACTCTACATTTCTTTTTCTTTGGTTGTTTACATTTCAGATTTACTTTAAGGAATAATAAAATTTAGACAATTTTATCCATACATCTCTTAGACATGTCCTATATACCTGGCACTGTGCCACGTGCTTCACATGCAATTGGTTAAGCATGACACAGTTCCTGTTCCACAGGAAACAACCAAACTTGGGTAGCTGTGGATGTTTCAAATAGGGTGTTTGGTGCAAGGGTGGCTCTGAAGATTATGGCTGGTCTGGATGAGGAAGGGTGAGCTCAAGATAGAAAGAAGCAAATGAAGAAATTTTTTTTTACTCTCAAACGACAGAACTTGACCATAAAACACAAGACACATTTCAGTATTGCAATCACTCTAGGCCCTCTTCCTGCCCTACTTCCTTAAGTAATAAACTGATTCTAAAGTCTATTATAGAGTATCTACCATATCTGTTGGAATCCCTGGGTGGTGGAAACAGCTAATGTGCTTGGCTGCTAACCAAAGATTTGAGGGTCAAGTCCATCCAGAGAGGCTTTGGAAGAAAGGTCTGACAATCTACTGCCAAGAAATCAGCCACTGAAAACCCTAAGGAACACAGTTCTCCTCTGACACACACAGGGTCACCTTGATTCGGAATTGACTCAGTGGCAACTGTAATGATACCATGTTTTGAGGGATTGACCAGTGATAGTGCTTAATCCTTATTACCATAGTGTGAGGTGGTATTCTTATCTTCATTTTATAAGAAATAATGATAACAGAGACAAAGTGTATGTGAACTGCTGTATGGAAAGTGAATTTGCTCTGTAAATTTTCACCCAAATCACAATAAAATAAGAAAGAAAGAATGATAACAATAATGACAATAATAGTAATACATTTCCTTGGAAGGAAGGTTCAGCAATCTACTTCCATAGTGACACTGCCTCGGAAACCCAAGGAAGGGTTGCTATGCATCAGGTCCAACTCAATGGCACATAACAACAACAACAGTAATACATTGAGAACCAGAGGTGTGAAGTCATTTTTCTTAGATCAAACCCATAATAAAGTGCCAACATTTATTCTAAAAATCAGTTTCTTTCAGACTCTAGAGCCTATTCTCATTGCTCCTCACCACCACGACACCCCCACTCCTACTCCTTAACCCCAAGGAGAATAATCTGTGTCATTTATGTCACTAAGAAGAATTAAAAGGCCTAGAAACTGGGCAAGAAGTTGAAATTAAGAGATTAAAAAAAAAAGCCTGATATTCTATATTTTTCTTTTTGTGTCTCAGAAAATATATATATTGGGATAGCAAGACAATAGGACAATGTTTCTCCAAGGGCTATGTGAGAAGACACCCAGGGAAAAGCTCTGTCTACAAAATGGCTAGACTAGATCCCACACCCCAATAGCTCTTGGTACTAGAGAACCAAGACAGCTGACTGCCGAGGTCCCAAAAGTTTTCTCTCAAAATTTGTGGCAAGAGATAGATAAACTACTAGGACTGAGAAAAACTCAATGCGAACAAGACCCCCCAAATGCTTCTAACTAGATTTTTGAGAAAATAACTATTTACTGGAGCTCTGGGCATTGAACAAAATGTGAACAGACATGTGTAATAGGACCAGATGTTTGTATGTGAAGCGCAAGATATTGGAACTCTATCAAGAAAAATATACGAAACTTGGAAATCATGTTCAGAATGTGTTTCTCAGAAAAGCTAAGGAATGGTCAGCTCCAGCCTAAGGATGACACAGAGTTCACCAGTGACCCCCACCCTCATACCTAAGAGTGCCTTCCTTCCCAACCCTTTAAAAAGAGTCCTTTTACTGGCACCATCTGTAGGTGACTTTACCCTCCCAGGCCATCCCATCCTTCAGAGGCCTCTGGGTACAATCTGCATCTGTTACATCTTCAAATACCCCTTTGTTACTCTCCTCTGCCTCATCACATAGCAATAGCTTCTCTATAAACCTGAGAATCAGACTTATAAAGTTCTCTTCTTTGATATGCTAAATAGAATCTAACTTTTGACCTTATTCTCTGGCAGAATTCACTCCATTCGTTAAAATCCATGACTTCCTCCATCTCACAATACACAACACTTGTCACCTTACAACATCACTGCTGAGGTTTTGCATGCCCAATGATACTCCTCTCTGCTGAAGCTTGATCTATGGTCCTGGCTTGTGCTACTCCTATGTGTGCTATTTTGAATACACAGATGCCGCGTGTCCCTTTGTTAAGTTCGCTTGCTTCTCTAATTTGCATTTATTTGAAAGGAATGGGCAGTGAGTGAGGAGGTTAATATGGGAGAATGATCCCCACCCTCATACCTAAGACCGCCTTCCTACCCAGCCCTTTAAAAAGAGTCCCTGTGGCCCCTGATGAGGAGATAGGAGCCAGGCTCCATAACAAGAAGTGGTAGAGACAGAGCCATAGGAAATGCGACCCTGCAGCCCTCCTTCATTCACCTGTGTGCGCAGAGTGTTCTGCACAGATTCTAACTTTAGAAATACCAATCTCTAGAAATACCAATCTCTCCTGTCTACTACAGGAGGGAGGTGGGGAGCCTATGGTCTTGGGATTCTGTTTTCAAATGTAATATTGAAACATATGGGTGTGTCTCAACCAGTGGGAGAGAAAGATGTGAAGCTGCAGGGTAGTACACTGGAAATTATTCTTAACCCACAGTCTGCCTTTTCTATGCAAGGTTCCTACTGCAGGAAGGAGCGGGAGCTGCAGCGGAGCCCTGATTTGCAGCACAGGCCAATTCCTGTGGTGTAAATATACCCACGATGGCTGATTTCAAGCTTCCCACATGACATCACAGAAGTGGAGCTGGGAAGAAAGGCACAAACTCAGCTCCTAAGACCCCGTAAGAGCTCCAGCACAGCACTCAACCCCACTTCCCAAATGTAAATTCATGTTAATATTTCTTACACATTAATTTATTTTATGAGTCCTACCAGAAACCAAAGATAGATCCCATTTAATTACACATTCAACGGATAAGGAAAGATCAGTTCATCATCCTCCACTCAATGAAATGCTCTGCTTCCCTTCAGAGCCCCAACATCCCAGCTGGGCCTCAGGACCAAGGAAACTAAGGCAACCTCTGGAAAGCATAGAGCCAGTTTGTTTGATAATGTTGTATGCCCCCTTCAAGAGTCATCCTCTGCCCCTTCTCAGATACTGACGCTGACCCAGGAAATGTTCAACCCAGGTAAGTCATTTAACAAGGGTTAGGCAGGGCTGACTCAGCACAGAGGAACTACTTTTGACAAGAATTGTAAAGGTTTGTGTTTGGTTTCATACTGTACTGAAGAAATCAGTGTCTGCACCCTTCCCTAAGCCTCCTTTGTCAGTCTCTAGGGCTGTGGTTCTCAAAGTTTGGTTCTCTGACCACTAGCAGCAGCATCACCTGGGGACAATTAGAAATACATATTCTCAGACCCCACTCCAGGCCTACTGAATAAGAGGCTCTGGAGGTGGGACCCAGCAGTCTGTGGTTTAACAAGCCTCCAGATGCCTCCAGAGCACTTCACTGTGCTCATGAGGAATCCATGTGTAGCTCAGTAGGCTTCTCAAACAGGACAAGGGGATACTGCATAGTTTAAAATCAGGAATGGTGTGCATCAGGGTTGTATCCTTTCCCCATACTTATTCAATCTGTATGCTGAGCAAATAATCTGAGAAGCTGGACTATATGAAGAAGAAAGTGGCATCAGGATAGAAAGAACACTCATTAACAACCTGCGATATGCAGATGACACAACCTTGCTTGCTGAAAGTGAAAATGACTTGAAGCACTTACTGGTGAAGATTAAAGACTACAGTCTTTAGCATGAATTACACCTCAACATAAAGAAAATGAAAATCCTCACAACTGGACCAATAAGCAGACCAATATATCATGATATATGACCAATAATATCTTGATAAATGGAGAGTAGACTGAAGCTGTCAAAGATTTCATTTTACTTGGATCTACAATCAATACCCATGAAAGCAGCAGTCGAGAAATCAGCTGTCATACTGCACTGAGCAAATGTACTGCAAAAGACCTCTTTTAAAGTGTTGAAGAGCAAAGATGTCTCCTTGAAGACTAAGTTGCACCTAACCCAAGCCAGGATATTTTCAATCACCTCATATGCATGTGAAAGCTGGATGATGAATAAGGATGATGCTTTTGAGTTGTGGTCTTGGCAAATAATACTGAAAACATCATGGACTGCCAGACAAATGAACAAATCTGTCCTGGAAGAAGTATAGCCAGAATGCTCCTTGGAAGTAAGAATGGTCAGACTTCATTTCACCTACTTTGGTCATGTTGTCAGAAGGGACCATTCCCTGGAGAAGGATATCATGCTTGGTAAAGTAGAGGGTCAACAAAAAAGGAGAAGACCCTCAACAAGTTGGATTGACACTGTGGCTGCAACGATGGGCTCAAGTACAGCAAGGATTGTGAAGATCGCACACAAC